TGCGCGGTACGCTTAGCCTTGTCGGCCTTTTCCGCCATCTTGCCATCCACCATGGACGTTTGGGTGAAAAATACTCTGTTTCAAGGAGCGGCGAATAAAGGCAGCCCAAAGTCGTACGCCAAGGCCTGGGAGCTGCGACGGATATATGAGTTTTTGGACTCTTGCGGAAGACAGGCATCCTTTGGTTACGTATGGTCTGCAGAATACCCCGCAGACGGCATATCACGCGGTCGTGTTTTTACACTTCAGGAATTGACGAAGGGTGGAACTTCCGAAAGGGAGCGGCGAGGTCTTGTGCCTATCAGATAATATATGTATATATACAATTAATTGGTTAAAGTTTGAGGCTGTGGGGAACACACTCTCATTCCATTTACTCCTTTTTTTTCTTCTTGTGTGATTTCTAGAGATAATTTCAGCATTCGGTCAGCCTCCCGGGCGGATATTCACCCCATGTCATCGCGTGGAGTGAAGCACCGCATCTCATTGAGGGTGGAATGAGCGAACACTGTGGGTGCTGCGTCGTGGCTGGATGAGGATCCGCTTCCGCGTGTAGCTGGCGGGGTGGGTGCCCGCTCACGGGCCAAGTTGATCGTGAGTGCCTCTTGACGGCATCCATTCATATCTCTCCCTCTCTCTCTGTCTGTCTTTCCCTGTTGGGTGTGAGACGTGTTGCACTGCGCGAGGGCTTGCCCGCACACACCGACGGCCCGCCGTGACGCCCGCGATGGCCGGTGCGGAGTGGCGGTGCGTGGCGCTGGTGTTTTGCGGAGCGAGTGGGTGCGGTAACTGCGAGAGGTTCAGTGCCCTCCTCGCACCCTATGTGTGCGTGTGTGTGTGTGGTGCTGCTCTTTTCTGTGGGCGATGGCTCTCCGTGCTGACCCTTCCGGATTGTCTTGTGTCCCGCTCTCCGCGTGGGTGCTCTGCTCTGCTCCCCGCTGGCGTGTCTGATGTATTGCCGCTGCTGCTGTTTTCCTCCTTCACTTCTTGAACACACACAAAGAAGGAAAGCAAGCGCTAATCGCTACTGTGCACTCTGAAGGCTCTGAAAGGACCAACCGTACACCGCCCACACACACATATTTGTATACTCTCACGTGTTGCTGCAGTCAAGGCACCCAACAAACACAACCGTTGCGGTGTGAGCGGATCCGGCGGAAGGTGGAAGGAAGAGAAAGTGAGCAGCAAATGCCCAGCATGTCCCGTCGTGTGTTTACTTCCGCGGTGCTGCTCCTCCTCTTCGTTATGATGTGCTGCGGCAGTGGAGCTGCCCCCACTGAGGCGAGTAATTCAGGGAAAAGAATCATCTTTCAAGTAAATGAATCATTTTCTGATTCATGGAACGAATCTTTGGTACAAGCGTTTCATTCGTTCCGTGCACCCTCTCTTGCTTACGTGAGTGGTTTTGTTGTGGCCACTGTTGAAGCGCATTACAAAAACTCCACGGATCAAAAATCGTGCGTAAGTATCGCTGCAAAGTCGATGATAAGCAGTGGAGGGACGTGGACAAATGGAACTGCCGTCGTGTTTGATCATTACGACGTGAAAATTGACCGCCTGTTGAGCCCACTACCATTGCGAATGGTAATAGTTATGATACAAATGCT